TTACAACATATGAGCGGCAGCTTTAACTTCATTTGAAAAAAATTACCAACTCGGAAGACCAGAACGAGTTCACCCTAAAACCACAGAAAAGTACTTTCATTCTATTCACTAGAAAGGGAGGTCAGCATTTCGATCTGATAATTCGCCTGCATCCTGCATGGGCAGCAGTCAGCTGTGAAAGGTGAAGACAAATTTCTGGGCATAATTTCAGACAAGAAATGAACATTCACATCTCACATGAAAAACATCAAAAAGTGCCTGAAAGGTACGAATATACTCAAGCTTTGTCGTGGACAACACGAGGCAGTGATAGGAAATCTCTAATGAATCTTTATAAAAGTGTTATATGGAGTCGCCTAGATTGCGGGACTATAATCTGCTGCTCAGTGAAACCAAGCGCTTTCAAAATTCTTGATCCGGTTCATCAATAAAGCAATCGTCTTTCAGTGGGTGTTTTTTGCACTAGTCTCTTAAAAAGCCTGCACGTAAAACCGAATGAGTGGTCGTTCGCACCTGCAGATAACCTACATGTATTTTGTGTGTTACCTCAAGGGAATGCTGACACGAAGCACCACGCACACTCCACAATAAATGAGTTGTCCAGTTCCACATTATACGATAGCCGCCTTTAGTTTCGACAGCCCTACTTGCTGAGGATTCTCACACGGAAGCCTCAGCGAGAAAACGGAAGTGCCACTTTTTTGATCACTGTCGGATGGCTCCTGCCGGAAATCTGTAACCATGGCCATGACAGCTCATAGAAAGTGACACCTCGCCCCTGGATGTTACGAAACACGCACCGGTGGCGCACATCTGCACCTACTTTCTCAAGCTTAGATACAAATACGATTGTCCTGACTCTTTTGCGGATGCCTCAAAGCCTGACACTTCTGTGTCGTATGCAGCAGTTGGCCCATCTTTTTGGAAGCCAGCTTACTGCATTCCGATACAATCATCTTCACCGCAGAAGCTTACGTGACTATCGTGACCGTTAAACACCTCAAACAATCAAAGCTACAAAATCCAGTGACTGACGTAGAATTATTAGGCATGGTAAAAGCTCAGAAAACTCTTGAAAAAAACAACAACCCCATTCTTGTTTCCCTTTACTTATTATTATGCACAGTCTACGCTCTCAAATACTATGTCATAGGGTAATCAGCGCCAAGCCATCGCGAGATCTAAGGTAATGGAGAACCAGCTAGCTGGGTGCGTTCAAGAAAACACTGCCAATACATTGATAGCCATCCCCCCACTTGACCTAAAGCCTTTTCTGAATTGACAGCTCAAAGCTAATTGACAAAGCACGTGGGATAGCCAAATAGAATGTGAACTATATGTTATGAAGCCACACCTGTGTAACTGGCCGCCAGTATCGAAGTCATGCCACACAGATGTAACAATTACAAGGCTATCAAATTAGGACACAGATTCATATCGTCTGCTTGTTGTAAAGCACCGCTTGTTGTAAACATTTTTCATTGCTTGAGGTTTTCTTCATCATGTGGGCTTTTACTTTGGCAGAGCTATGAGAGATGGGGCAGGTACATAGAAAAAATACATTCCTGACTACTGCTGTGGTGACCCCATTGGTGCTACATTTTTATTTCATATCCGTTTACTTTAGTAGAGCCCTGCCATCAATTCTACGTAATTTTGAATTGTTGCTCTAAACAAAAGTCTCAGTGTCAGGAAACCTCAAACAAGTAGCGTTGTAGGTGAAAATGCTTGGCCAGAACCACCTCAAAAAAAAAAAACATTTGGTTTCATTATTGAAGAGGTGGCTTCTGTGTGTCTTTTCGTGGAAGTGTGGCATGGTCTGAAAGACATACCTTGCGCCAAACTAGTGGTGAATGTACCATCAGCTCGTGTTGCACGTAAAAATTGATGAGAGAATCGTCGTCCAGTGACCCTGCTAGTGATTTCTGCAATTTACGAAGCATGCTGAACGCTGAGATCAAAAACTCTGGGCGCTGTCGTGACTCTTTGGCATTATGTGCCTTAAATTAGGGCTAACTTGCATATGTTCAGCAATAAAAACTTTAAAATGAGACTAACAATTTGTATGTGTTTCCAACTTTGGCGTATAAAGTGTGTTGACACTGCATGCCAACGAAATGAATGATAGCCCTTCTGAGGTTTCTCTGAATCTCGTAATTTGCATGTGTTTTCTTGTGAACCTAATATTTCCTGTTTCATTAAATACAAGATGAACTTGTTTTAGAACATAATTTTTACCTTTCTTTTGTTTTTTTACAGAAGGACCACCTGTCTCCGAAAGTCTAACAAGGTAAATAGAAGTGCTGCGTGAACGGCTCTCTTGTAAAGAAATACTTGCCACTTGCTTTTTTCCCACTGATTTGAAACATAAATTCTTAGGTTGAATTTTTCACCCATACTTAGATCATCAGCTGAGCTCATCATTTCGAGGCCGGTCTCCATGAATCCATTCTTGTTCTTGGGGTGTCCTAAGCAAAGAGCGACTGAGCACGCTGTCGGAAGATGCTCTAAATGCTATAGTTCGTTGCTAAGATTTTATATATATTTGCTATAATTCGCTTGAATTTGCTATATTTTGTTGTTTCAGATTTCAAGCACACAGTGTTGTGCAACCAAATGAGAATTTCTGAAGTTTGAGGGAACCTATACAAAGCAGTTCAAAGACAGCTCCAAATCGGTGACATCCAGATTCTTGTCCAGCCCTGCGTGACTGCTGAAGCTGTCCACCGTTTAGAAGATTACCTAAAGAGCGGAGAGAATGCACAAAACTGGTATGGTCCAGCTTTGCCTTATCCTTTAATATCAGTGCTGTTAGACTAAGGTTGTGTAGTTGCACAAAACCTAAAGCAGATAAAAAAGTGAACAGTTGCAGCGCGTTACAGTAGATGGTGCCTATGTAAATTAGTGCCACTTCAAGGCACCCTGAACATGTTCAAGTAAATTTATTAGGCTAGTTTGTAAGAGGCAATTACCGACCTATTCAGGCTCTCAGAATCAGCTGTTAGTTAGTACGAAGCTGTAAAGATGCATTTGCTGCAGAGAACAAAAAAGGCTTGTGCAGTGCTGGCAGCTGTTTAAGTAGGTCTTGACCATTCTGTGTGCTTTCTCTTCGTTTCCAGGCAGCATACTGCAATGTGCGCAAGAATTAGTTCGAACTGTACTTACGTCGCCTGAGATGGCTGACTGTACGATGAGCGAGGCAAAGCAGTGACAAAAAAGAGGACGTGAATATAATTTCTCATAGCTGCACTGGTGTACATTACTGAATTTATGGTGCGAGTGATTGAATGTTGGAGCCCGAAAGCTGACAACTCAAAGTTTCAAGAACCTTTTAATAATGTGGAAATAGTTCCCATGTACAATTGGTGCTAGTGATTCATCCATCAATATTACAATGGTAATGCTTACCTAGAGCACTCAGTGACAAGTTTTTTACTGGTATATTGTCTCAGCCCAAAGCACAAACATGAAATTCTTTTTAAAATGTTTGTCTATCTTGCAAGCATGTATATTAAGTAGTGCTGAGTTTGTTCATTTTAATGTGTGAAAGGTTACATACATATTCAGCGGAACAAACATTCCGGATACGCTTCGAACGCTGCATCACCACTGTGTTATACTGGTTAAGATACTCCGCTGCTGACCCGCAGGTCGCGGGACCGAATCCCAGCTGCAGTGGCTGCATTTCCGATGGAGGCGGAAATTCTGTAGGCCCGAGTGCTGAAATTTTGGCGCACAAAAAAGAACCCCAGGGGTTCGAAATTTCCGGATCCCTCCACTATGGCGTCTCTCATAATAACATGGTAGTTTTAGGATGAAACCCCACATATCAATCAACACTTCGAAGGCTGCTGAGAAGCTTCCTGTTTAAGGAAGCTGCACTGCAGTTCAGTTGGTAAGGCATGACAATTTGCTTACCTGAAGAACGTCAACTACTTTCTACTTGATATTTATTTCCTCGCAGTGTTCGAGATTTTTTTCTGATTGGTAAGAATGACTACATAACTACAGCATGACGTCTCCATGGTACTGCCATGTTTTTTTTTTCAATATTTGGGGCACGATAACAGAGCCAGTGGCTGTGCATGTCACATTTCGTAAAGGTGTTGATACATTACCAAGTAGTGCAATGGTGTTTTGACACAACACCCGGCGTACTGATCATTCACTAGCAGGCCAACCCGCAGAGTGACATTTCTTATATTTGGAGGCTGCCTGAGAGTAAACCATAGTGATGCGTTGGTACAGGACGAGTGGGCTGTCATTGAGAAATGGCTGTTCGGAGCCCTGGACAGTGAAGGTGGCCGATCACCCAGGCGTCACAGGAGATAACTCCACAGTTTCCATGTGCGTTTGCTTGAACAAATCTTGTAAATAATTTTTTGAGATCTCTGTGTGTTGTTCTGATATTTTTTAAATAATTGTGAACCGCGTTTACAAAATTTTGAGCTTGTGTGTTCCAAAGCTTCCCTCCTGTTGCATGTGCTGGTATACGCATGCACGCCGAGTATGCTGTCTCTAAAATTAGGCTAATTATTGCAGGGCCAGCATACAATTACAGTACCCGCCACCAATTTGACCAGGAATCTTATTTTAGGAGGGGGGGGGGGGGTTCACTTTCTGTATGATTGTGCCCGCGTTGGTAGGTGTGCACACAGTAAACAAGTGTACAAAAAGAAAAAGGATTGAGGAGGAGGTGAGAACACTCCCCCACTCCCACGCCTACGGCCTCATAGCCACCAACTAGCTGCGTGCTAATTTTCAACGGGCTGAACGTGGGCAGCAGAGACTGGCACTGGGCCATGTCAGCTTATGAGCTTGATCATACATCTGTGGCAATAACATTGGCAAACCTGAGGCCAGTGTCAATTCCCTTACGTGGGCTAACCTCCGCAGCTGACCTCTGCCCAACATCGACTAAATTGGCCAGTGACCTTGTGCCAGCGTTATGCCGACTACTTCAGTACCATCGGGTTATAAACCAAGCAAAATCTACTCACCGTCGCATGCATGCATACAACTTTCACAGTTTCTAAAGCGGTTGTTGTTTCCTTCGAAACCGGCGTACATAAATGGGTGACAGTTTCCTGTGGCGTTATCGTAGTACCACTTCCATTGGGCCTGGCATATTGTCTCGCACTTTCCCACATCACGTGGCATGAAGCAAATCTCGTTGAACATAGCATCAGCGTCTGAAGGAAACACACACACCATAAAACCAATTGCCCGTAATGATTGGAAAGCTGAAATAAGCCTACACACGTACACACGCTCGACCTCACGCTCCCATTTAAGTGCTTCTGGACGTCAATCTCTCCCTCGCTTCCCACACGCTCCTCCCAGTGCCTGACTTCCGTCTAGTCCATTCGCCAGCAATACGTTCCGCTACGCCACTCGCGAATCTTCCAGCGCACACGGAAGCCACCTCGCTAGGGCCAATGTATCATTAAATACGCAACCTTTGCATCCTCATACAAAGATCTAAATAAAGCCACTCAAAAGTGCTGGTATATAAAATTTCAATTTATCCATCGTACATTAGTGACGTGGCAGGAACACTTTGTCCAAGACTACTGACCAGAAGGTCGTGGCTTCGATACCGGCCATAGCGTTTGCATTTCGAGGAAGGCGAAATGGTAGAATTCGTGCATTTTGTGATGTCAAAGCGCGTTAAAGAACACCAGATCGTCTATATTTCTACAGCCTCCCTCTATGGCGTGTCGCATAATCAATCCGTAATTTCAGGATGCAACACCACAGATACGATCACTATAATTACACTATTGTATGATTGAAGTGCACACGCAAAATCAGCAGAACAACCAAAACTGTGTACTGTAAAAAGTTATAACGCAGAGTTATTGTTGGAAGTTTCTCACAAAACTGTATCTTTCATTGCACAGCCAGAAAACTTGCTCTTTCCTACCCGAGTCATGTCTGCACGAAAGCAACTTACGAAGACGAAAACACGCATCAAGTTATGTAGTAATGAAACTAGCCAATGCTATTTCTGTAGCGTGTTCAAGCACTGCGGGGATTTTCCGTGCCGCGCTGGAGAAACATTGAACTTACGCTAATAGTCCAACAAGTGGCTTATTCATATTGCTTCAAACTTACCTGCAACGTAGAAAAGAGAAATTACTGACAGGATTGCGTGAACTTGATGTTTCATTGTTCGCCTTGTTTAAGGCAAAGCACAGAATAGTGATACCTTTCAACACACGTTTCCTATTCAATTGGCGAAGTAAGAAAGCTGTTGTTTTTGTTTAATTATGCGGAACGCAAATCATAAATATAGAAGACGTGACAGATGGTCAGATTCTATCTGCTCGAAGAGGGCTTCATTACAGTTGCCTTTATTTTTAACTTACAAATAAAACTTTTTAAGAAGGCTAGTGCATTATTGCTAAGCCTATAGTTATATAATTTCACACAATTTCACTTTTGAACTACAGCGTACGCAGAATCTCTTTCTCCGTTGTATTGTGAATGCGATTGTCTTCGCGTCTCCTCACAGTCATATACAGCTGCAGATATTTCAAAAGCTACATCATAAATTATTTGCGAAAAACCTATATAACTCCAGTTCCGCAGGATTTCAAAGCGACAGCGGTATAGAGCCCGTTCCCCAGAAAATGTGGAGTCGGTGTGCGTTGTTGGTTGTGAGTGAAAAATCTTGTCGGTGTGTTACCGAAAAATTGAAGATGCAAATGAAACCCGCGTTGTTTGCAAAGCCATGTTCCAACTCAGATAGTTTGCGTGGCAAGTGGGTGTTCTACCACACAGCCACACGTCTGTCTTACTTTTCGTTCTTTCGAGGTATTTATAACGTACTAAACGCGTAAAAATATCTAAAGCAAAATAAATTACAATCACATGGTGACAATATGCGCTCAAGCGTTACTAACAAACACTCAATGTAACGCCAATACTAAACCAAACCACGGAACGCCGCAGGGCTCAATTTTGTGCCCTCTACTTTTGAATGTTGGGATACGAAAGCTTGACTTATTGTTAGAGGAGCAATCCAAACTAGGTACACCAATATACGTGGATGACATAGCGTTATGCTTTGAAAGGTTCCATCGGCGACAAACAAAACTACCTTTCAAAAAGCCATCGGCAAGGTCAAGAGATTCTATATAAATGCAGGCAGGCGATGCGCACCAGGAAAATCAAAACTTATCAGGTTGAACACCAAATATTCCAGAAATGCGAGGTGCCCCCAAATACACCTCAATTATGAAAGCCAACCTATCAAAGAGGTGCAAAAGCTTTGAGTCATCGGCCTGTGGTTTCAAAAGAACGGTAGAGTAAATCACACAATCGAAACACTCTGAAAAACGACGACAAACGTAGCTCGTATGATACACAGGGTGACGAGGAATAGACAAGACTTTAGAGAAGAGGAAAATCTGCGCCTTCGACAGGCTTTTGTGATAAGTATATTCACATACACTCTACGCTTCTAAAAGCTAATGAATACGGAAACAGCGAAAATTGACGCAATCTTAAGAACGGCATACAAAGTTGCAATCGGACTTCCCACCAATGCTAGCGCCGAAAATACAGAGACGCTAGGACTCTATAATACCTACGAAGAACTCGTGTATGCCGTTGAAATATCTCAAAAGTAAAAATTAAATTTGACGGACCAAGACAGAGCTCTATTGAAGCAGATTGGCTACCCCTTAAGACCTTGAATGTTGGAGAGGAGACATACTTACTACCTAACCACTTAAGGCCAAAATTACGGCGTCTCCCATCTCGAAGAATATGAGCGCTAAGTGCCACCGAGGCAGGCGGGAAGCCAGAACAATAACACTACGAAAACAACAACCCAATCGTCTTCTACACAGACACATCCAGAGAGCAAGGCAATAAATACATCGTTATCTCTATCTGTATCTTACCGGAGAACGAGGTGGCGCCGAGTACAGACCAACACGTACTCATACTTACACAAAAGCACACCACATAAACCGCCCAATATACGCATGAAGTTGTCCACCCGTGGTGTGGCGAATGGCTGACTCTCGCCCACATTACGTAGGAATGCGAATCTGGCCCCGAAACGTCAATTTGCCTCTTTTGGGGACAACATATCGACCGAGGCTGTGGGAAACGTGGCTTGCGAGCAAGAATTAGGAAAGCCAGCTAGCTGGCTTTGCTCGACCAAGCCCAGCAAGCCGCAAAGGCCAGTGGAGCTCTTGACTTAGGACCCCAGCCAATTGCCCGGAAGCCTTCTAGGAAATAAAAAAAAGTTTCTTCTCTCGATGGCTAACACATCGTGTAATAGCAGAGCGACAGTCCTTCAATTGTACTATACTAAAAAGGGGGTGACACTGAACATCTCACCAAGATGGTGTACAAGTCCGTCTTAAAGTCTAGGTCATCATTATTCTCTTTGGCGCGAATAGCCATTTGAATGAAGTGTGTGCTTGCAGAGGTGGTGGGTTCTGCTTTATTGTCCTGCATACGTGTGTTCTTAGCCGTGCATTCTGTTACCAAACGGTTTTCGCCGTGTCCCATCGCTTCCATCACTGTTCCGACTTTGGGTAGCGTGGGTCGAACCAGTCTTTCAAGTCTCTGGGACGAGACTGAGTAGAGAAGCCGATGCTAATAACAGAAAGGTGTATTTATCGTAGTTAACATGATGAAGGTAGCGTGATAATACATGATTGATGATATCGTCTTCGAGTGTCTGGGGAGTCACGTTTTATATCCCGGTTCTTCCTTAGATTCCCTGCAAAGGAAAACTATGTGATACAGAACTGTTCAACGAAGAGGTAGTTTTCATCTCCGCCCCCAAAGAAGAAGTGCCAAACACCTCCTGCTTCCCAAACCAAGAAAGAAGGAAAGAGACACGACCCTCAGTTCGTCGCACGGCAAGGGCGAAGCACTACACCATGCAAAATGCGTTAATACACACAACACAGCATAAAGTAACAAAGATGTCTGTCCCAATTGTGTAGTCCGGCACCATGCTGACGCAAGGATAGGGTCTGGGGTGCCGGGCAGACAACTTGATTGTGGGAAACGTACCCGAAGGGGGATCCCAGGTGTTCGACTCAATGTCTGGCGCAACCTGCAGAACAAATTATCGCTGAGTTACCCACGTTTTCCAAGCAGCTCTAGCTGCAAACACCTCTTGCTAAGCCATCAGACGGTCGAGCGTGTTCAAACAGGTTTGGACGTGGAGAGCTACCAGCTGTAAAGAATTTTTAGTACGACTGTTCTGTTAGCGCCGCTTAAGAATGCTACCCTCGCCTGCTGAGAAGGGCTTGGCAAACGACAACTTGCGACAGAAGAAGCTGGTGGCGTGGTATATTTCACAAAAACGTTGTTGTATAAGACATTACACATTGTAGTATAAGACAAAAACATTGTGGTATTTCGGCGAGGCACAACAATATTCGCAAGAAAAAACACATAAAATGGCACTTCATCAAGCTATGATGGTTGAAGCAGGTGTTCTACCAAGCAGGCACGCCTCCGTTGTGAGTATAGTGAAAATAGCTTCATCTGCTTGACAGTGAAGTGAAATTTATTTTCATCCTTTACAAACACACGCGTATTCTATACATGATTCACAAAACAAAATGAAATATTGCAGCAGTAATGCTGGTACAAGTTTACAGTGCCATCGAACGTCAGAAAGTGTGCTAATCGTAATGCCTTTATGGTTCACAGGTACTGACTCACTACAAAAGGCACATACACTACAAAGCCTATTCCGCAAAGGCCACGAAGTGGCTGTGATATAAGGCGTCGCTACCGACTACAGCGCTGTGCGATGGCATGCGCTCGGCGGCCGCCACAGGGATGAAGAAGATGGAATAAACAAGATTTCCCCGTTTATGCTGTAACTTTCACTATGTAAGGTGTAATATATTTCATTATGTACGATGTAACATTTACCAACCAGATTGAACCTCATCAGTAAATTCGTTTGTTGCCTGACATCATATACGATGAGTATTTCGAGGGCTAAAACAGCCACTTCCGTTCCTGTCGTCACCTGGACACCCAGACATCCCATGTAAGAAATAAATCCTGGTTTTCAAGAACTACATGAAAGCTTCGGGCGCCTCCGACCTACCTGCAGTTCGTCGGAAGGCGATCCTGCTGAACTGCTTGGGCTTGGAAGAACAGCGTATCTTCCAGACTCTGATTACGGACGACCCATGCCTCGTGACTGCGAAGCACTGTGGAAGCTACACTGACGACTTCCAGCCCTGATGAGTTCGACCATGGCATCGCGACGCTGGAGGATCACTTCTAAAGCACGTTGAACGTCACTGCAGCGCGTGACCATTTCTGTTTACGTACGCAGACCCCAGGTGAGACAGCGGCTGATTACGTCAGCGCACCGAGAAGTCTTGTAGGAGCATGCGATTCGGTGACCTAACGGACGACATGATACGCTACCTGCTCAGAGAAAAAACAAGTGGATACTTACGTGAAAGACTTCTGCTGAAAGAGTCTCTCACGATTTCTAGGACACTTACTATCGCAAAACGGGGGGGAGGAGGGACAGGAGGGAAAGAGAGGCAGGGATGTTAACCCGTCTGGAGCGACCGGTATGCTACCCTACACTGGGGATAGGGATGAGGAAGTTTGAAAGAAGGAAAAAAATAGAGAAAGGAGAGCTCACACAACAGTTGGGAGGTGTCCTTTAGGTTAATCAAGTGAGTAATGAAGCAAACGAACTAGAACAATATGACTCGCAAGTTCATCGTGCCAAGGATAAGCCAAATTGCAGAGAAAGGCATTGTAGCACGTGTACTTCTTGTAACATGCAAAATAAATGTCGCATATCTCTGAGAGAGCAAGAATGTTACCGTAGTGGTTCTTCGGCGCACTTTGTAAATAGGTCTCATTGAAAGGCCAAGGCACATAAGTGTCGAAATTGTCAGAAAATTGGCCTATTTGAAAACCTGCGCAAGTGGCTACGAAAGTTCACGAGAAATGTTCAGCATGTCCTGGATGATCACGATACAGGTGACCACGAGGATAATTTAAGTGTCTGTCAAATCTTGAGCAGCAAGAGGGGAATCTACGCAGTGAAGGGAATCTACGCAGGGAATCTACTCGCTTTTTCATTGACCTGCGTTCGCAAGTATGAACGCAACCATTCGTTGAGAAAGCGATTGAACTTTTTCCGGGTGGCTCAATTGAGCGATAGACAGACAGACAGACCCACAGATCAATATGCTGCGTTGAAGTATCCTAAGTCCTTACGAACAATGCTGAAGAGAAAGTAAACGTGTGAGTTGACATCGGAAACACAAACAACTGCACAATCTCAGTCTAAAGGGAACAATGTGTCTCACTCTAAAGGGGACAAATAAGCAGGCGCTAACGACTACACTGGCGGTGACGTGGACACCGGCACTCATAGCAGCGTTGTGAAGGAGAGAAATCTAGAGAGGCGCGAAGCACATGGCAAACAACCAGCGTTTTCTACTGAAACATGGCAATCACTGCTAATGGTCAATGAGAGACAGAAGACACAGATTGGACACAGTGGCCCACAGATCTTCATTAGCTAACACGCACACTGCGAATTTATGTTGTTCAGCAACACACAGGAGAAATCTCCCCCTTCACTACACTTGAGTTCAAGATCCAGTGTCTTTGTTCTCGGGGTGACCCGTCAATGGTTGTGCAGCGCGAACAGTCGTTTTCCTATCAAGAAATTCGCTAGCAGACGCTGCCAGCCTCAGCGTACGTTAGGGAGATGAGAGAAGGGAAATGTACGCGCATGCGCAAGGGGGGGGGGGGGGAAACGCCGTGGGATGATTGCCTAGGGAAGAACGAGGGCTGTTAAAAGATTCTCCCTGCGTCAACGCTGTGAGGTGGGAGAGAGTATAGTGTAGGAGAGGGAGAGTGGATTCCGGAGCCCTCCACTACGGCGTCTCCCATAATCATATGGTGGTTTTGGAACTTAAACCCCACATATCAGAGGGAGAGTGGACACGCATGCGCCGTAATGGTGGTCACGCCGCATATCGAATCGCACTCAACTCTAAGCTGCTTCACATCTAAACACATACAGCAGTTTCGCAGTAGTAGACCCTACTCCCTTCTTTCTCTCCCTTCTAGTCTTTTTATTTTACTTGTCTCTGTGTTCTCTGAATCTCCTGTTTGTGACTCTTTATAGTTTTCTTTCTCAATTTGTATTTATTTTTAGTCACTCATTTAATATTGCTTTCTCCTTATTCTCATTTTTATCTTTTCCGAATTGATTTTATTGCTTCCTCTTAGTTCCTTTCTATTTTTCCCCTGTCTAAGTTTTTCTGCCGGCCCGCTGCGGTGTCCTAGTGGTTAAGGAACTCGGCTGCTGACCCGCAGGTTGCGCGTTTCAATCCCGGCTGTGGCAGCTGCATTTCGGATGGAGGCGGAAATGCTGTAGGCCCGTGTGCGCAGATTTGGGTGCACGTTAAAGAACCCCAGGTGGTCAAAATTTCCGGAGCCCTCCACTACGGCGTCTTTCATTATTATATGGTGGTTTTGGGATGTTAAACTCCACATATCAATCTATCAATCAAGTTTTTCTGCTGCTTTATTGTATTTGTGTCTAAATTCTTAACTTCTCTATAAAACTCTCCTCCTCTTTCCATCGCTTTCTCTCCTTCTCGGTAAATATTTATGTCTCCTATTTGACTGTTAATGTTTTTTCTGCTGTTTGTCTCTAGGGTCTTTTCCTCTGTATTTCTTTCTCTTCCTTCTCTTCACTTTTTCGCGCTCTATTTTTTTGTTTCTTGTTTTTGTGAAGTTTAAGCTCTTATTTTCTAGTTGCATTTATTGATCGCTATTTTCTATCTCATTCTTTATCGCTCTCTTTCTCACGCAATCGTTTATTTGACACTCAAAACTGCGACACAGCGTAGCAGGGTGCCAATTACTGTGGCGAATATTCACCTTAAGGGTTTCGCTCGACGCATTGGCTGTCGAAGGAGTTGGGCCATCGAGGAGGGTGCTCATCTTCCTGTGGCGACCTGGTTGGTGCCACCGACTGGTTGAGGGGATCTTAGGACTTTGTACAAGTACTCCTTCTGCTGTTTTGATGTTCATTGTATGTATGTGTATAGCTCAACCAGGATCACTCTATTAAGCATGAAGGAAGCGCGTACCGGTTCATAATTGCAGCAGTTCTTTTTTTCATGACGGAGCAAGCGTTAACAACACCTTGAGGTGGTTCGCGTTTTAAAAAGTGCATTACAAGTGTTACAGAAAATGGAGTGTCGTCAGATCAGATTATCTCAAAAAGCATTGAAATCTGGTGGTTCACTGTTCACTGTTCACTGTTCAAATATTGCATACCATCAGTACAGAGATGTTAGTAGAATGGTGATGCTTTGGTCCTAACTTGAAATAAGGCCTCAAATGTTCGAGAGGCTCTCATAAGATAAGGTGCCCTCGTAAGTGCATCCTAATATGTTTTCAAGGCCGACAATAAAGCAACGTAGAAAGGTGGGTTGGGTAACACCACATAAGACCGAAATTGCTTGACATCGACGACAGGCTGGACGTAGGTCACACGCAACGCAAATTAAGGGGCGCTAGGTTCTGTTAAGAAGTATAGATTCGCTTCCTAATCATAATCTCCTAGATGTGGGCGTTGTTCGTTGATAACGCAGTATTATCTTGATTGTTGGGTGTTTTCGAAAGTTAACTGCATGAGCTTTACTTCAAATGAATAGCTTGATAAACCGTCTAAGTTCTTTATTGTTGGCCTACCACATATTTATTGAAAACCTTTAGTTCTGATTCTCGCATGTCATTGTTATGTGAAAGCTCTTGGAGCATAATTAAGATCTCCACTGCATTGATACAATGCGGCATCTACAAAAAACGGTCTGCAATCAACACCAGTATTGTCATGAAGCTAAAACGATCTTATGAAAATGTTGCTTGAATCATGTTTCTGAGAATATTGTCATTTCGACGTTTTCAATAGTGAAGAATTGCAAGCAAGGAAATCAAAAGTAGGTTCTTTATCACTGCATGAGAGGTAATATTGTGGCGTGTTCTCCCATTGTGCATATGGGTTAACTTTGTCATTTTACGAGTAGTGAACAGTCTTCAACAGCCTCCAAGACAGTGCTTGAAGAACCTTTGCGAGTGCAACAGCAGCATATCGAAGACGCCGCCATCGTATGAGAGTACTTATTTCAGGAGCTATGCTCTTTTAAATAGCAGTACGGTTTAACCTTCGGGTGTACGTATTTTTAGGAAGGCAGGAGTGGTATACGAGCGGATATTATGGGCCTTAGAGGCACTACACGTGGTCATTAGTTGCTGCCTTACGATTTCTTTACTATCTAAGGCACTTTAGCCGGACAGCCATTCTGGGTCAGACGATTCAGTTACTTACCCAAGACACTGCTACATACGAGGCAGCCCATAATATTCACACCTGCTTTTAGAATATTGAGCGACATGATTCGACCCACCTCGCTGGTCTAGTGGCTAAGCTACTTGGCTGGTGACGCGCATATAGCGGAATCGAATCCTGGCTATGGCGGCTGCATTTTTCGATGGAGGCGAAATGGCTGTAGCACGCCTGCTCAGACTTGGGTGCACATCAAAAAACCCTGGGTGGTTGAAAATTCCGGAGCCCTCCACTACAGTGTCTATAATAATCGTAAAGTGATTTTGGGACGTTAAACCCCGCATATCAATCAATCAATCGATAGAGGTGAAACTTTTGTAGGCCCGTGTGCTCAGATTTGGGCGCACTTTAAAGAACACCAAGTGGGTGATATTGCCGGAGCCCTAAATTCTGGCGTCTGTCATAATGATATGATTGATTTGTGACGTCAAACCCCACATACAAATCGTGTGGCAAGATTTTTTTTCAGTTAGCCGTTAAAGTATTTAAAAGATATAGCCAGAGCAATACCAAGCAATGTTTTCTACCCTAAACACATATAAATAAAAGTACAAGATGACAAAATTAGTTTTTTGTTTTATTACGTACAACACACGTTCTACAAATAATTGAATACATTGTGGCATTTATGAGCTGTTCTTATTCATTGATTCAGAAGCGTATGCCGCAAACACTTTGTACGATCCAGTTATGAGTTTCAGGAGAAATTCCGCTTTATATTTCATAGCTGCTGCGGTGAGATCAACCCTAGAAGCCCTGTTGGATTGACTCATTGTGGGCAGTATAACCAGAGGTGCCACGGGGTGGAGTCAGAGATACTACAGAATCAAGAACTGTGACCATCGTGAGATGAGCTTTGGTGAGATGCGTCTGTGTGAGGGTCAGCGTGAGTGCCGTGGTGCGAATCGCTGTGAGAGCCGTGGGGAGATTGACCGTGAGAGCCATGGTGTCCGTGGTGTGTTCCGTCGATACCGCATGAGATGTTAGACAGGTCGGTAGAACATCCACCATGCATCTTTGCGCCCAGGAGTCGACCAGAGTCGGTTTCTACACACCAGTGGTCAGTGGTGTTGCATTGCACCGGGTTGTATTCTCCAGAGGTGGCGTTGCAGTGTGGTTCCGATCCTCGCTCCGAAGCTGGGAATAGGTTACCATGGAATATATATGACTACTTTGCAATAATGCTTCACAAAAGTAGACTGCAAGTAAATGTAGAGAGTGAACTAGAATTTGCTTCCTTGTGACGTTATCACTACGTTATCGCTTTTATTCTGTTGCTAAAAAAGAAGCACACGCTCATTATTAATAAATAAAAAATATCCTCAATAATGCTAGTTCTTCGGACACGTTTTTCACATATAGGGCGCCTTTTCCGAGAAAAAGGAAATCTCGAACACATGAAAAGAACCACCGACCTAAAAAAGGAAATCTCTGAAACACGAAATGCTGCTTTACATTCAGACATATATATATATATATATATATATATATATATATATATATATACTTGATGTCGTGAACGAAGGCCATACCCATTCATCCTTTCCGACCTAAAGTTGGCCTATTGTTACCGTATGGTTGTGGTAGCCAACTTGAAAAAGCTGGTTGCCCTTCGCATACGCGTTTCAAAAGTATTACGAATACAAAAGAAACTAAATTTTAGGGTGTGACTGTCGTTTATAAAAACTGCTGTCGTGCGAGAAGATATATGTAGAACAGCATGGCAGATATATTAATGACTGTGATGAGAAAACTTAATCGACCCTATTTTAAGGCGGTATCTTGCGTACGTCGACAATGACCTCTAGAAACTATTACAATAGAGAGAAGGTTTGACCTGTTGGCGAATTAACTACAAAAACGCTTCTGCGTGAAGAGCAAGTGGATGACATCTCTATACAGCACAATTATCTCTCCTATACTCAATCGGACTAATTTTCACTGATAATAGCCTGCTGCTTCTTTCATCTACTAGAGGCAGACTCTACTCCAGTGAACGCCATAATGTGGCTAAGCTATTCAGCGGCACCACGGCTGTTAGTGAGAAAAAGCTAACAAAAATGCGTTCAGCACTTGGCGGAACTTTTATAGTAAATGCAGCACTATCTTACCCGGTGTGTGTTCCCACTCATGGTATGCCACGACGCAGTTGCACGACCTGAGGCTCCTCGACGGACCCTTGATCTGACCGAACTCCTTGTCGTAGCAGGCGCAAAAGCGTCTTCCCCGGATGGTTTCACCGAAGCACTGTATTGGCTTGTAGTTTCCGTGCTCGTCACATTCGGGGACCAGTAGACCAGTCCGGTTTCCCGTGGCACTCTGCTCATTGCGACGACGACGCTGACAGTCTGTCTCACCCGTTGGAGCTGCGTAAGATCAGTGGTTGGGTAGCCTCATGTAGCTGCACACAGGTTTCACTGTTCACCTTATCTTGAGCCAGCTGATTCTATTTTACCTCTGACAAGCTTCTAAACTTTCGACACTTCATCGAGCTTTGTAGCTTTCCTTGATTGCGTTACCAGTCTCACAATACCTATTCTATTGTTGTTACTGTTAACCTGATCGCTGTTTGGCTCATTACGTAATCAACACAAATACATTACATGCGCTCGGTGTCACACGGGTATCTGCAACCCCTGTTTGTGCTTTGGCAGACTCTGCTGTCCTCAATTTTCTTGCAGTCAATCCTATCACTTTTTATGGCATCGCTTATGGCATGATCTTCAACGTTTTTTGAGTTTCTTTAGATACTACTTGTTTACGATAGTATGAGCAAAAAGCTATAACGCGGTGGAATTAATCGCCTCGCAGAAAAGTTGAGTGTTGATTGTGAGTAACTCCCCATAAGTATTTTGTTGCTGAAATGTACTCATCACTTTCTCATTTATCTTTACTGCTGTTTTTTGTACAGTTATCTTCCCTATGTTAAACAATCTCATACAGCATTCAGTTGTGTAAATATTAAATTCAGGAGTAACGTGAGATATAAAGTTCATTTAACGCATGTATTACTACGCTGCAGGAGTCACAATATGCGTCAGGCTCAAATTATGACCAGGCGTCACGTTGTGTGCACTGAAAAAGAAGGTATATTTGAATCTGAATAATAATTATCGAGAGCTCACTCATTTTTTGTCAGTACGATAAACAGAAACAGTTTTTAAAAAGTGTGTGTGTGCCTGTATCACGTTCTATACAGAGATGAAGCACTAAATTTTCTAACCTTTTTAAAATCCGTGCAAAGACAAATATACGCATAGACGGCGTGCAGGATAGATTTAAAATGAAACGTTCTTGCTTGTTAATTTCCGGTAAGATGCTATACCTGAGTGTAACCAGGTTTTAGCCTTTCTGTGCAAAAGTGTAACCCCTGCCCTCTTTATGTTCTTCGTGGTGCTATGGCGAATAATATGTTGTTCGGTCCGGCAGGAAACAGTGACGGCAAAACTCAGTCTCGTTATTGTTAGGCTCTCTGCACTTTCATGTTTCAAAATGTCAGAAGGTGAGCTGTAGTAACAATGCACAATTTTCACTTCTCCTTGACTATACAAATTGCACGTAGTCCAAGTGTACTTACTGCATAGCACATAGCCCACAAGTGTGCAGATCTGCAAAACAACAGAAAAAAAAGCCTGTTCAATATCACGCTTTAGAACAGATAACCGTGAGATGACAAGCCCCATAATTTATGATCAGAGTGGTTTTCACGATATTATAAGCAAATGAAATATGTGCTTTCAATTTTTCTGGAAGAAAGCTTGTTTCTTCCATTCAGAATATCACATATCGCACTAAAATAGATGATACATAATGTGTGAAATAAATATGGTTCAATTTACAATGCAAGACGTAATTAAATTATGTAGTCATTCACAGCTATAAACGTGAAATAAGGCGATCAACGTTAAAGAGCGAACCATGTTTCAGTAAAAAAAAAAAAGCTGACACCGCGAAATTTCACTGCGAATTCTGGTATCTTTCATGTGAATCAGTACAGCATCTTAAGTGAAAGTCAGACATTACTCTATTGAAGTCAGATTTTGCCAGCGGCAATTAGGTTAGTGACACCGAATTCAAAACAATCTTCTTTATCCAAAATTACAGAGCGTCTTTGAGAGAAAAAATGAATGATTGCTGCTGGTTGGACTCAAGTGATCACATGTTTTGTTTTGCTTATTTTTGTTCATGTGGACGCTACATAATTTAGTAAAAATTGTAGCTTGAACATCTATAACTGCATTGTCTACCGGGTCCACAATATCAAAGTGTGTTGACAAGGCTTTTCGAGTTTGAAGCACAAGTTTAAATGTGCACGTACAAAAAAAAGCGAAAAAATGCGGCTTATTTCATTTAGCAAGTAAGCTGCTAGCCCCTAACAATGCTTTTGAAAGATGTGAAAGAATGACTGGATTATTTTAACAAAAAGATTGCCAATCCTTCATGATGATCACAGAATCGGCCCAATATAGTACGTCGTGCCTTTTAGGCAGTTGTTTGTTCCACGCCATCAATTTATATATATATGATTGATTTGTGGTGTTTAACGTCCCAAAACCACCATATGATTATGAGAGACGCCGTAGTGGAGTGCTCCGGAAATTTCGACCACCTGGGGTTCTTTAACGTGCACCCAAATCTGAGCACACGGGCCTACAACATTTCCGCCTCCATCGGAAATGCAGCCGCCACAGCCGGGATTCGATCCCGCGACCTGCAGGCCAGCAGCCGAGTACCTTAGCCACTGGACCACCGCGGCGGGGCAATATATATATATAAATATATATATAATATATATATATATATATATATAATATATATATATATATATATATATATATATATATATATATATATATATATATATATATATATATATATATTGTATATATACATATATTGGTGTGTAGGTGTGTGTGTGTTTTGCGTGAAAGGAACCAATCTTTATCAATATTTCGTTCACCAAGAGCTGTCAAACAACATCACACGTGCAGCGCTTCCAGGTTGAAATTTGTCGAGGGCGTTTGCTACAATATGAAGAGGTAGCTGAAAAATTTTCAATCGCGTTAAAGCACAGTATATGCTAGCGGGTCACCGTTCCCCCTATTCAACAAAGTTTTACGGCCAGTTTCTTTGCGCCGAGAACTTGTTGCACTCTGGCCAACTAGTTTTATGACAGAATCGGGCGTAAATTTATTGCAGTCAATACTGGCATACAGAAAGTTTTTTGAGGTAATCCTGCTAATGCGTTTCTACATATATTACCACTAGTATGTCTACGATTCTTAACAACAGTTTTCTTTACGTGACTTACAATGCGAGAAAAAAATGTGGAAAGAGTTGTTGCAATTAGTGTTTTACTAAGGTTTCACGGCGGGCTTGTTGGTTATTTATGTTGTTCGAGGTATTGCGCATCCAGTACAGGACAGAGAAGAAAACACAGAACACATACACGGCGCTATGTAGCGCCGTGCATGTGTTCTGTGTTTTCTTCTCTGTTCCGTCCTGGATGCGCTATGCCTCGAACAAGAACGTTTTACAGTTAAGCTGCCCTCCAAAGAAGAAAGAAAGACGTAACAAAAAAGCTTTGAGTGCAGCCAATTACCTTTCATTGGATTTATATCTAAATTCTTGCTGTTTTAGTGCCAATCTCACACAGTACGTCCTCTAGTTAACAACAAGTTATGACTAAATCAGCAAAGAACTCACCGCCAGCGTGAAGAAGTTGATCCGATTCATGGTTGACAAATATGATATCTGCAAAAAAATGAACAGATATTTGCGTATGTTCCAATAAGTTGTTTCTGTTATTTTATAACCAATGCAGAAATCTTCATAAGCCCGCTTCAGCTTCTGCAACCTCACCGAAATAGGCTAGCTACGTGTTTAGGTGCCTATAAATTATTGAATCAGCAAGCTTATATATTTTCTTCAGTATCTGAGCTGCAAGTTGGTTTATGCCAAGCCTAGCTATATGCCAGCGACCAAGGCTTGCTATCGACGCTGGTACTATATCGTTGTGCAAGTGACTGCAGGATTTATATACACCTATCTAAAAGACCCAGGCCTTACATAATAATGGGGTAGCGTTCAAAAACTCATTTCACAGAAACTACAATGTTGCCGTCAGTGCCATCAGCTGTGAACGAAAAAGCCGCGGTATTGTGACAATATACTTCGAAAGGAGGATAATGAAGAAATAACAACAAAAATCTGGTACAAATGGGGACCGCACTTAAGACTTCGCGCAAGATGTAGGTGTTCCACCTGAGGACTACGCCTGTTTGAAAGTGCATCAGATATAAATGCTATCGAATGTCACGCACTTCGATGAATGCCCTCAAGAGATGTACCCTTCTGTAAATGTGCAGAATCTCATCTGGCAGATTAAGTTGTGAATTGTGCGAAAAGTGGATGTTTTATAGACTCGGACCATTTCAAAGCACACTAGTACAATTATTTATTATTATGAGCAACAGCATCAATAAAGTGTGGACGATCGCTTGTCGCACTACAGACGTGTAGTGGCTACTTCGAGAATTCGAGAACGAAACAATGATAGCGTAGTGGACACTTCACAACGGCACTTGCAGTAGGTATTGTAGCTTTGCCTGAAACGGCTAATGGTGTGTGCACAAAGATTTCTTTCTCTGCAGCACGGAAGAGGCAGACGCTGAGAAGCAAGGACCAGGCAAGTACATCAGATGGTGAAGTCAAGAGGAACCGATTACGCTTGCATGTTCTACTTTTGAAGGCGATGCAGCAGCTTCATCTCAGTTAAACACTTGGCTTGCGAAAGTCAGTAGAGGTAGTTACTTGCTAATAACACGTAGGAAAACGATGGACACAAAGTTTTTAAAGCTCAAGAGTAAGTGATTTTGCCCTGCTGATGATGTGGCCCGAATGATAGTCCTTCATTTGTGCGGCAAATACATAATTAGTCCTCAATCGAGTGCTCACTAATAAATTACGCCAAATTACTATGTGGAGTCATACTCCTATGCATACGCATTTATGATTGCTCATCACTTACTCATTGTTGTGTTTAAGTGCTGTTGTTCAATGGCACAGTAACGAAACCTGATAATTCAAAATTTAATTATTTTGGACTACGGTCTAATGTTTTTTAAAATAATTAAAAGAGATTGCTAGGTTGTATATTATGCCTAAATACACGCTAATAAGCGGTAGACTGACACATGCAAAGTCTCTGCATTCTTGCTGCGCCAAAGAAACGAATTATGACACTTACGTTTTCTCCTAGTTAATCCGTGGAGCTGTGCGACGTCTTCTTCAAATGAATTGCTTCTGTCGTGCGAGTCTCGTGCGGGGCGCTTATGAAGCACAAGGCGGGAATTGCCCGGAGATCACGTGATATGAGACACTGGTCTCTCTTCACAGCAAAATGATAAAGAAAATATGCAGCCACATATCGCGTGTGCAGCACTCCCTCGTCTCGGAGACGGCCGGAAGTGGCCGCGGGCTATCATCTGCCGAGGAAGACAAGGATGAAAGACGAGTGGAAACAGGAAACCTCACTTCTCGAAAGCAATGCCTCCCTTAGCGAGCAAAAGGAACAGTGAGAGTGTCGATCTGCCCAGTCGACTACGTTTGACGCTCTTATGGCCATCTGCCTAGCTTCGCATATACCAAATTTAGCCGAAAACGACAGCAGTACAGAAAGAACACCATTCACGTGTCATAGCACGGTCAACGCTAATTGCCTGCCGTGTACGTTGCTCGTTACTCTTTTTCCCCCGGTCACGTTTGTGTCACAGTTAGGACATATCACGACTCGTGCTGATATGGAGTGCGTCCGAGACTACTCATAGACGCGAGAGACTTCTGTAGTTTATCCAGGGATGAGTGAAAATGCACGTTGGAATTCTTAACGTGATAGGGCTAACAAGCCTGTCTCATCCCTCACCCTTTCGATGAATAAAAGTTGTCACTCACTCACTTGACGGTGGTTGTGGCAGTGTCACGTAGTGATTAATCCAGTTTGAAGCAATTAATGACGTCCACAATGTCAAACGAAGGTCCCAGTACGCTTCAACACGAATACAACAAAAGGGAAGAACGGGAGACAAAGGCTGGACTTACAACTGAACTTTATCAAAAGAGGATGTTAATTAAAACAGCGCTACGCATGCGTAACAGGCGAGCAAGAGCAATCATGCCGTTATACAGTCTAGCATCTCCCTTCCCCATGTTTATCACTTTTCACGGGGCCTAACAGGTGCAATACACAGCGAAATTAGTTCCTCCGATTTTGATTTTTTTTTCAGAGCAGGCAGTAGTTGTGTGGAAAAAAAAACGCCGGTGCTTTCACAAAATCTCTGACGTCTCGTATCACATAACTTTTTCTGGCTGTCGCTGTAGCGCCGCCCAGGGTGGCCAATGCCTCATTACGAATTACAGTTGGGGTTTAATCTCTCAAAACATCAACGGGATATGAGAGACTCAGTAGTGGAGGGATCTCGCAATTCCAAACCTTAGGGGTTCTTTAAAGTGACCTAAAATTGAGCACACAGACCTCAAGCATTTCCGCCTTCATCGGAAGTGCGATCGGGATTCGATTCTATGACCTGCGGGTCAGCCGCCTAGTGACCTAGTCCCTAGACTGCTGTGGCAAACTCGGACCAGCTGCGAAAGAAGCATGGTGCGCTGAGGGCTTGTATAACGCGGGTCCCTAACGTAGCCGGCAGATCTGCTTCAGCAGACAGATTCTGACGTCTTGGAAGTTCATGTGCACCTTGACTACTTCAAGAACAAGGAGTCTGCATTGTTCAGACTAGACGCACTTCTTCTGCTCATAGGCAAAAACAGTCTTAACCACGAAGTGAAATCGGCACAGAATTCCGGTGACAAGATATGCTGCGCCATCGCGCGCGCTAAGCGCTGGATGCTAGGCCATCAGGTGGCTACCGAGACGCGTGCTGAAGGTCATCGGTCCTGGCTGAGCAACTTCAAACTTTCGAATTTCATCGATGCACTGGGCCAGATGAGACAACAGCGTTAGTGATTGGTTGAACTCCCGAAGCTAGAGATGCCTACCTTCTACAGCAACCTGTGTGAATGGCAGGCTTTCGGGGAACATCGCCACGGAATGATCCACTAGAACAATGATATGATGCGCACCGAAAAATTCAAGTGTTTACTCACGTAGACGGCGGGCAACGCGAAAAGGTGTATATAAGGCATCCAATAAACCAATGAGAGTTACTATCTCGCTATTGAAAAGCTCAAAGAGTGGTTCATACGGCGAAATCTTTTCATCAGTGAACATGTGGATAATCTTTTAATATGTCTTGTGAAAAGATCGGCAGAGGTTGCCACAAATCGCTCACTCTGTGATAAAGTGCAGTTTCTATTGAGCGTTTTAGAAGGCTTTGGAGTATCACCGTGTCGTGATACTGAATAGTGTCGTGAAGCGCTGCTTGCCGAACTATCTAGCTACCATGTGCTGACAACAGGCAGTATATGGGCAGAGTGTGGAAACTCTGCCCATATGTGGCACAACGGAATGTGGAATGACTTCTCGTTTGAGTGCTTTGGAACAGTGGTAGTGACTATAATTATATTCGTGCAGACAAGGCCAGAATACTTCTGTGTTGAGTAGTTGGAAAATAAGAACTTCAGTTCGTCGCATTTAGATCTCTGAAATTGCCGAAATAATTATGCTTTGATCGTGTCTCTGTGCGGCTGTGCAAGCAGTATAACGATGCTGCACTGGAGTTTGAATTATTGACAATGCCACAGATTTGCTCCGTAACGAATGCACCACTAGAGGAGCGCAATTTGCTGGCACTTCTCGGCATGAAATAGGAGGAAGAGGAGGAAGAAAGTTTAAGCGGAAAGACAGGGAGGATAGCCAGTTCTTAGACCGGCTGGCTACCCTGTGCTGGGGAAAGGGTGAGGGGAATGAAAGATGTTGAAAGAAATGTTGCGAAGAGAGACAGAAATTACAAAAAATTTGCGACAGAGGAAAGGCAACATCAAGGAGTATAAGACACTAAAGTGTGTCTCTGAGGCAAGTTGTCGGCAAAAGGCGCAGCAAAGCCTTCAAAGCTTTCTTGGCTGAGGATCGGCTCGGCCAATGACCCAGAATCCTTTGTTTCGACAAAGGCCGATCGTCCAGTCTATCCAGAGCTGCAGTGAGTTCTTGTCTTTGTACGTTGAAATGGGTGTACTCACACAGAAGGTGCGCGATGGTTTCTTCGCAGCTGCAGTAAGGGCATGTAGGAGAGCTGGCCATTCCAATGAGATAAGAGTGTGCGTTCGTGAAGGCAACTCCAAACCACAGGTGGCATAGAGGAGTCTCCTCGGCTCGAGATATCCTTGGGGGAAGACAAAGCTGCAGATTGGGATCCAAGTTATGCAGGCGCGCGTTTGTGAATTCTGTTGAGTTCCACTGTACCAGTGTGAAGTCACGTGCAAGCGAACAAAGTCTTGTAGCTGCGTTGGTTCTTGAGAACGGAATGGCTGTGTATTGGGTACTATTGTGTGCAGATCTAGCAACCTTATGTGCACGGTCATTGCCATATATACCCCAATGACCTGCTTTCACTGATACACTATGCTGTGCTGTTTCTCGATTGCTTGGTGATGAAGAAGCCTTATTTTAGCTACTAACTTTTCATTTGGTCCATGGCGAAAGGGTGACATCAGACATTGAAGAGCTGCCTTCGAGTCCGAGCAGATAGACCAAAGTCCTGAAGGTTCTTTCATTCTAAACTTCAGAGATGCACGTATGGCGTCGAGTTCTGCAGCTGTCGACGATGTCAAACGCGATGTCATGAATTTATTTATGATGTGCCTCGCGGGAATAACCACCGCCCCTGCAGAGCTTACTGAAGACACCGAGCCATCCGTGTAAATCTGAAGGCGTTTGTTGTGCTTCTCTTTGAGGAAAAGTATTGTGGCCTGTTTCAGTGCTAGATGCGACGACGTTTTCTTATTTTTGATGCCAGGAATCGTCAGAAGGGCTTTGAGTGGGTGTAGGCACCATAATTGTATCGGCGGCCGTGCTGCATGCGTGAAGCGCAATGGAAGGACAGCACAATGCTGAACTACAGTTGCTCTGAACGCTGAGTGGGGCCTAGAAGTTCGAAGTGAGTCCAGGTGATGAGATGGAAGGCGAGTGAGATGTCTTATGTGCATTCTAAAAGCATCTACGCGGATGTATGCGTTGACTGGATAATCACGCGCAATGATGACTGTCACTGCTGTAGACGCGCATCTCGGGAGACCAACGTATATTCTCAGTGCTTGGGCTTGGATCGACTGGAGGACGCGCAAGTTTGTTCTTCGGCTCCCGCAAAGCACGGGTAAGCTGTATCGCATATAACCGAGGAACAGAACAGTGTAGAGTTGAAGCATTGCTCGTACCGATGCACCCCACGTTTTTCAGCAAGAAACCTCAGTACGTGGGTGATCATGGTGAGTTTAGTTTTCATGTGGGCAATGTGAGGGCTCCAGGAGACGTCGCGATCAGCTATGGCTCCTTGATCGTGTGTCCGTTGATTTTAATAACATATGGTCTCATCGCCTTATGCGTGTATGCTATAGGCGAGCATTTCTCTGATGACAGCTCTAGTCCCCGTTCTTCCAGGTACTTTGCCGCTAATGTAGCCGCTCTCTGAAGCCGGGCACGCAAATAAAGGCGTGTTACGCCTGACACCCAGATGCAGATGTTATCTGCATATATTGATAGATGAACAGATTCTGGAAGTGCGTCAACCAGGCCGAGTAGCACTAGATTGAAAAGTTTGGGAATAAGAACACACCTTGAGGCACACCACGACGGTTGCAATGATGCGTTGTTGTGCCATTCTCCGTCTAAACAAAGAAAGTTCGGTCTTTCAGATAGCTGTGGATCCATTGGTGATCCCGACCCCCTAATCCAACATTTTCCACGACATCCAGAATGGCTTCATGTGATACGTTACCGTATGCACCTTTCACGTCCAAGAACAACGCTGCAGATAAACGTTTCAGTCTTTTTTGATGCTGAACAGATGGGACCAGGTCTGTAACGTTATCAATGGCGGACCGCCCACACCGAAAGCCCGTCATAGCATGAGGGTATACCTCGTGGTGCTCCAGGTACCACTCTAGGCGAGTCGAAATCATCCTCTCCATCACTTTCCCGAAACAGCTGGTAAGCGCGATGGGGCGATAAGAGGTAAAGTGCAGTGGAGATTTACCTGGTTTAAGCACAGGGACGAGGCGGCTGAATTTCCATAAATGAGGGATAAATCTGCAGCTCCACGAGTCGTTGTACACGGATAGAAGGGCCCGTCGAGCTGCTTCGCCAAGGTAGCAAAGAGCCATGTACGTGATCCCATCTGGACCAGGCGACAAAGATCGTTTGCATGCCGTCAAGGCCGCTTGTAGTTCCTCTAGAGAGAAAAAGGTGTCCAATCTTGAATCTCTGGAAACTGGAGCGTTTTCTATGTGGCGCGTGGTGCACGCGGACCCTTGACCAGCAACTTTCATGCAGAAATCTTTTGCTACTCCAATTTCGGTGCGGCTTTGGTGGAGAGAAAGACATTTGAAGGGGCGATGTTTGTAGGCCACGAACAATCCTCCATGCCTGTGTCAAAGGCTTGTGTGGATCCAACAATTCGCACAGATATTTCCAGCTGAAGGACTGAAGTGAATTGGTTCGCCGCTCAATTTGTTTTTGTAGGCAGTTTGCCTCCCTCAAGTCGTGAACGTACTTTGTGCGCTTATATCTTCGTTCTGCACGACGACGGATCGCTCTGAGCCGTTCCAATTCCGCCTGATGTTGACAGTATTCTGAAGTGTGTCGAATATGATAGGTCGCTTCTTGAGTAGCACCTCTAATCATATCCTCAAAGGTGTCAAGAGGGGGCGTTCTATTTTCTTGACACCTATTTTTCGTCAGTGACCTGAACTTTGCCCAGTCGATGCGAGTCAAAGTGTGATAGTTTGGCGATTTTTCCAGGCCCTTGATCTTTAAATAAGTTGGTATGTGGTCGCTTCCATGAGTTTCATAGTCTGCGAACCACTTGACCTTTCCATTTAGTCTTCGTGACTCAAATGTCAAGTCGAGGCAGCTGCTGTATGTCGTTCCCCGTAGAAACGTTTGGCTTCCACCGTTTACGCAAAGCAGCTGCTGCTTCAGAGCAAAGGAGAATACTTGCCTTCCGCGACTGTCTGTCTTCTCACTTCCCCATAGAGGGTGGTGAGCATTGATATCTCCGGTGATGATCTATGGTCCAGGTGTGGCTGTTAACAGTGCACGTAGTCTTTCAGGTTCAAAACGGTTTGAAGGTGATATATTTGAAATAGCATGTAGGTAATGCCTGTAAAGCGGATACCTGGCATAAAGAAAACATCACCGTTACCATAGGATCTGACGCCGATTTGAAGGTTACCAATGGTAATATTTACCGCGTAACCGAGACGCTCCCAGCAATGACACAATGTTCGAATGGATGGTTCAAAGACCCTTGTCGTGTGACATACAGCTCCCGTCTAGCGCTCTGTTTGTTTTGAGCCGCAATCCTTCTGCAACGGGCATAGACGTAGCTTCAATGTAGAGTCATGGTGCCGTCGGGAGAAGTAAACTGCATTCACGAACCTCAGACAGGCACTAAGACCTAGCTGCATGAGGGCAGGGTATCTCCAAGAAAACTAAGTGCCATCATTTTACATCGTGGTCGCTGGCGCCAGGAACTTGGAAGAGGCTGAGACACCGAGCAAGCAGGTTGACGATCATCTTTACCGCGTGCTTCCTAGTCGGTGGCGGCAGCGTGCTAGTGACATGAGACCATCGCAACTTTTCCCAGAGAGCCGATTTTGGGGCAACTACCACGGCCAAGATCGCGTTCTCAAGGTTCTACTAGCCAAGCACGTCACTATTCAATAAGTCAAGAATAGACTGCTCCTCATATACGTCGGTTCAAAAGTATACCGAAGGCATGCGAAAGCCTCAAGTCGACGAACACGAGTAACAGGTACTGCCTGAAGCAAAGCAAGCAGCACGCGAAAAATCACGCGCTGTCCGCCAAGTACAAATCCTGCTCAACAACGATTCGAACGCAAAGCACACAAGAAAAGCATGTAGGGCAACAGTTCCTTCAATAATGGCGTTTACGACAATGAGAACAACTAGGCGCAGACCAATGATCTCGAGGTTTAACTTTATGGGCTTCTGTCGCCATGCCTTCGTTGGGAGAGCATGAAACCACGAAGATGTCTCAAGAGAGACCACAACCAACTTTTTATTGGGTTCCGCATAATATTTTTGAACGGAAAGTCAAGAAACCTCGCGACCACACCATGCCTCTGCTTCAGAGCCCTCGAATGCAACTGTTGTGAAATGAAAGGCTCGTCTTCGCCAGCACCAAGCAATTTAACTGACGCCGGCGAGTTTTTCTGGTACTGTTGCGACCACGTTACTACCGCGCAAGCTTCACTCTCGATGCGAGCAATCAATTTTGGCCTCCTGGGAGGATGTTACGAAATTATAATGAAGCAATTTGGAGAGTGCCATACCCTATAGAAGAGATAGGAAGCTGAAGTATGTTGTATCTAGCACGGGAGCACAACACGTGGTCGGGGAGCAGTATGCGTTAGGAATAGGCAATAAACTTACTCCTTCTTTCACGTCAGGGATTCAGTCATTTTGCTACAACGCCAACTGAAACACCGCGCGACGCAATAACGGGCCACTTAGAGCTGTGGTCTAAACCTACAAAAGCACAGCTCGGTCTGCCACCCACCTCCTTGCTATGGCACACATGCACGATGATTCCTACCACATCTCCCGTCAGGTCACCTGAACAAGAAAATGTTGGCTATGCGGCAGTTTATTCTAATTGGCCCCATTGGGGCAGTCAACACAAAGCAAGCCAATTGTGTGCTAAAATGGTCGCGAGCTCAGAAGCGAAAAAAAAAGAAATACCACAGAACAAGTCAGTTTCTTTGGTTTATTACGGACGACATTGTTACTGTAAAAGAATATAATACCACGAGGCAGTCATGAGCTGTTAGATTTGTTCTTTGTTACAAATGTTGAATCGTGGCTTTGATGCGTTTTAGTTACGACTTGACTGAGAGGTACCACTGCTCGACTGTCCCGAACTTCTTCGGCGAGACGAGCTGGAACTGGCCTGGTGGCTATCATCGTTGTGACTAGAAGATCCAGAGCTGCCGCGGGAGGATCCGGAGCTGTGGCTACTGGATTGATCGTGGCCAGAAGATCCAGATGAGCCACGAGAACCAGAGCTGCCACTGCGTTGGGAAGTGCGGTCGTCGTGGGCGGATGTACCATGGTGAGAAGTGCCTCGGTGATGATCGCCATTGGATGCGCTGTGATCGCCACTGCGATAGCCAGTGTGAGGCGCGTCGTGACCATGGTGCGTACCACCGACACCGCAGCTGACGGAAGACAGGTTGTCAGAACATCCACCAGACTGCCTTTCACCCAGTTGACGGCCGGAGTCCGGTTCAACGCACCAATGTGAGGTAACGTCGCACTGCACGGCATTGTACTCTCCAGAGGTAGCATCGCAACGTGGCTCCGGTACTCGCTGAGAACCTGCGCATGCGTTATCATTTGTCGTATTTGTATCTTGGAAGCCATGCTTCAAGATAGTGTATAGAACTGCGGAACTGGTTCTTTCCCGACTATGTCCGTTTTATTTCTGCGGTTACAACTCTTCGCACAAGTCGATTCTTTAAGTAGTACCAAATGTAGCAGCAAAATTTTCTGAAAACACTATACGCATCAAATAAATTCTACTCTTAGATTTTCACTCATACAAAAGTTTTCGTATATCAACAGACATCAGCTCTAAATTTAATAAGAGTGGTCCAACCAGTAATTTCACTCTCGTCAATACAACGACGCTAAGATTTGTCTTTACGAAAACTTCTGTTGCGCTATGCAGTGCCTTTAGTGAAACATTCCTTCAAACGTACAAATTTTTTATACTACATCAATGCTAAAAGTTGTGTATTCCATTAGACGCAAAAAACGTTTAATTTCTGCCAAAATAATCAATGAAGTCAAATGTGATGGGCAGGACTACTACTAAACCTGGTTCGATTTTCTCCCTGTGGGCATATAATCAGAGATCAATTTCAGTCTCCTTTGTCTCATGATGACCCTACTTATTGCGCTTGAAGCAAGGTAAAATAACATTTCCCGTGAGCAAAATGTAATAATTTACGATTGTCATGCTATGGGACAATGCGTAATAAAAACTAAAATACAACGCACGCAAAAATCAACACAAGGCGACACTTTCCTAACAGTGCGTAAATTGTCTTCTGAAACGAACAGTATTTTTTTTTCGCTCTTACAGAGTGCAACTTGATATATTATAGGTGCGTGCATTGTAGGGGTGGCCCTGATGGTGACGTTTAGCGTATTACGGCGTTTGGAATATATTGAAGTGTACAAGTTGTTTTGGTAGTTGTGTTATTGCATAGTATTGTAAACATAAACGAACAAAGAAGTCTGTGGAGGAAGGAATAGTGGCGAGATGGGTCCTCATAAAAAATTATTTACAATCAAAATGCGTTATTTAGTGTTTTTTTTATAAAATGAGCATTCAGACTGCGATTCAGCCGTCAACTTAGGTGCCATATTAATATTAGACGTCAGCTAGATCAGCTCTAAAAGAATAAAAGTTTCCCTTAACAATATAATTCGTACTTTAGGGGCTATAGCAGAAAAGTCAATTAAGCGGCATTCTCTCACGCCTTCATTCACTTATAGAGCGCTCACGAACAACAATAAATTATAAGAGTGTGGTCAACTCATGCTTGGGTGTTTGTATTAACAAAAACATCATCGTACGGGATTGGCGCTCCCACTCGTGGTGCGCCCTGATACAGTTGCACGACCTCAGGTTCCTCGAAGGGCCCTTGATCTGACCGAACTCGTTGTCGTAGCATGCGCAGAAGGGCCGTCCTCCGCGGACAGTTTCCCCGAAGCACTGAATGGCCTTGTAGTTTCCGTCTTCATCGCACTCGGGGACCAGCAGGCCAGTCAGGTTCCTGGTCGCGCGCTGCTCGTTGCGACGACGACGTTGGCAGTCTGTCTCACGCGTGGACGCTGCGTGACAGTGGAGTATAACCAGCCTGAACGGACACAAGTATGCTGCGATGGTTGCGAAGGCCTATTTCTAGAGAATAAAACGCCGCAAAGTCGGGTTGCGAATTACTTCGCACGTATTGGTTACCATCGTTTCCGCGACACAACTTGTTGCGCCTTAACCTTGTCAGGCTTTTAATTCAGCCATTAGCTTGTGTCCAATTGCAGCTGCATTAAATACGAATTTGAACACTGGATCAAGATAACCCATAAGAACAACGTACTCGTGTGTTCACGAAAGACTTACCCTACAGTGAAAAGCTAACTCTTTGTCAAGATTGGTAAATCTATACATTAAAATAGCACTACTGCATTCAAATTTTTGCATATATCTTGTGTTCAGACGCGAAGACTTATTGCAGTGTCAAGGTGAAATATCAGGCCGAAACAGCAAGTTAGCACCAGTGGTATTTCCACCTACATTCATTTAAGCTCTTCCAACAAGGACTATCACTGAGTGGTAATTATTCAGTAAAAAGAAAGGTTTGTAGAACACTTTTTAAGTTGATAAAGTATTTCACTTTCTTGAAACTATCAGAAAACACTGTTCAAATGAAAATACAGATAATTAAGGTCTTTTGCTGAGACTCTAAATGAAATTCTTCAGGGTTACTTACCGCAGTATACGTAGCCAATAAGCGCGAAAACCTGTAGAAATAAGAAATCGTTCATCATCAGTATTAGGCCGTCTCAAAGGAGAAGTATAGCAGTATTGCCTAAAATAGAGTTTCACATTGCAGCAAATTAACTCAGGCTGTGCTCCGCATTCTTCAACATTACTTTTCGTCCTCTCCTCATGTACTGGAAGCGATTACCATAAAAAAATACCACGCAGTGTACCTTCTTTCAGGTAGTTTTTATGTTTCCTAGAATAATTGCGACGTGTTGCCTTGAGATGTCTTGTTGCACATGTGTAGCAATCAATTTTGACGCAAAGATGTCATCTAAACAAGCACTGTCATTGCTGGCTAAGTTCCGTGACCATACCATTGACACTACCGGCATTGCGAAGTTGGTTGAGCTGTCGTTGTGAGGAAACGCTTAGGTTTCGAAAAACTATAAAAATTGGAGTGCGTGGGTGTTTTGTATTTTGCATGTGGTGAGTTTAGCTTCTTTGCTTGACGCTGTAATCGTAAAATAATATAATATTTTCACTAGGCAGCCCATGTGTTGAGCTGAGAAATGAATTGAATTTACCTTCTGAAATTCTTCTGCGATCATTGCACGCAATTTCATTCATGTCAGGTCAACGTTACATATGAAACAGAAGAAAACTCACCGTTAGCGTGAAGAAGCTGATCCGAGTCATGCTGGCGACCGTGGTTGCTGTAGATGTGGGAAATTATTATGACGTATTTCAAGAATGAAACCAAGGTTTTACGCTGCAAAAAGTCGAATCCTAAAAGGCCCACTTCCTTTTTGCAGAGTATCTCAATTGTATGTTTTATAGGTCTTTCAACAAGCATCTATGTAATTCTTTTCATAAGAGAAGTTACGCAAAAACTAATTAAAAAAATTGAAGCCGATTTAGACGCTTTTCTCTCCTCTCTTTCTCTTTATATATATATATATATATATATATATATATATATATATATATATATATATATATATATATATATATATATGTATATACTAAGCACTTTGCACTCCTGTAGCGCTATCTAGACGTAACATGTTCGTCAAATTTGGTAGAAAAAGTCAAGCACCACACGATCATAAGGCACTTTAGCTTGCCAATGTGGTTTAGAACTGTAGTAAGTATCCATATTATCAGCAAACTCGACAACACATACCCTTGCTTTACGTCATGTACGACAAATTCACTCTCCGTCATTTCATAAATTAAACAAAGTTTTTAATTTTTTTCTAGCAATACTCCGCATGTGTGAATCAGACATATATTGTTTTTAAATGTTGCGTAATAACAAGAGCGCGTAGCCAAAGCTCAGTCGACCACTACACTAAACTAAAAAAAAAGATGCAGTAGCTGTACTTCTAGTATGTAGTGGCGCATGTTAATAGGGAGAACATACACCATTCAATCACGGCTATAGGTTTACACACATAGATTTCTCAAAACCCTGTAGTTTCTTTAAATAATGAATTCCGAAACTCACGTTTTCTACCAGTTAGTCTTTTTGAAAAATGAATTCAAAAACTCACGTCTCCTTCCAGTTAATCCGTGTAGCTGCCGAACGCCTACTTCACACAGACTGCTTGTGGCACCCGAGTCTTCCGCGGCGCGCTTATGAAGGACAAATCGGGAATGACCCCGACTGTTTCGTCACGTGGCACGAGGTGCTGGTTGCCCCTCCTCCGCACCGCCAACAAGCAAATGTGTAACGCCTGATCGAGTGTGTCGAAAGAACTCTCCCGTCTCGACTGCGACCGGGAAAAAACGGTGGTCTATCAGCCTCCGAGTCATACAAGGACGAAACGCAGAGAAATTGGAACCCTCGCTTTCTTACACTTCCTGTCTTTCTCCTGTGCCACTGCACAACGCTGCATTGAGTTAGCGAGGAGGCCCCTAGGGGCACTCCCACCCCATTTAAGACGGTTCGCAGCCTGCAAGAGCGTGTGCGGCTGCTGCTCCGTTGCACACACGATGCAGCGATAGCGGAGTTTGGAGGCAGCACTGGCAATCTGCAATATAAAGAGAAGAGAGCGGTCGCTCTTTATTCTTATAATCTTTCGAAGGCTGAAGGCACGTACAAGCTGTGTTGTACCTCTGATGGTAGCTTCTACTGATGGGGTTTAACGTCTCGACACCACCATAAGATTAAGAGAGATGCCATAGTGGAAGGCTCTGGGAATTTGGACCACTTGGGCGTTCTTTAACGTGCACCCAAATCTGAGCACATGCGCTTGCAGCATTTTCGCCTCCATCGAAATGGCAGCTGCCGCAGGCGGGATTCGATTCGCAACCTGCGTCTCAGCAGCCGAGTACCTTAGCCACTGGACAACCGCGGCGGGCCAGATTTCTTCTTCGTAGTTGCATATAAATAAATAGGGTGGCGAATAATTCAGATATGTAATATATCTTTAAATTTGAACCTATCTCACTGATTCTGATCTTCTGAACAGTCATATACAGCGTAATTAAGGCCTACTCTATCATGCAATAAGAAAACGGGATGAGCAAATATCGGTGATATTTTTCAGACCAAGTAACATTGCCAAATTTAAAAGATGTGTTTTCACATTCTAATTTCACATTCACATTCTAAACAAAGATTGTTAACTGTAATGAAGCAGAAAACTATGCGTAAGCCTAAATTACTAGTGATGTGCAGTGGCACTGCTGTATTTTAATGCATTATTCTTCGTATAACTCGTTTGTGCGCAGCGAAATAACTAACTTTACCTAGCTTCCGGTCAACAAGAGTGTCTGCGGCTTAGAGCAAGTAATATAGCAGTCTATAGCAAGTTATAGCACTCTTCGTAATCTTTAATGAAAATGAACGGAGTGTAAAGAAGTAAAAAAAGGAGTAACTCCTCGAGTATTTTTCTTTTAACCTGTCAATATTTATCAAAGGCATTGCTTATTTATTCAGCTTATTTATTCACTATTTACCTTCTTATTTTCTTACGCGGGAGAATTTCTAGTTACAATTGACACCCTGCAGAAAGGAGGGGGGCATAGAGACAACTTAAGAGTAAAAAATTCAACATTAGTTCTAGCACTTTAGAGCACTGGGTACAATTCCATATTATAACTATAATTATACAAGAGGAGCACTTCATAACAAAAAAAAAACGTTTCTTTCTGGTAACTAAACACATACTGTGAAAGATGCCATTATTAAACATGCCATGCTTGCGATTTTAACTTTGCTCGCAGTTTTGACTGAAAATCCATAAATTCAATTCCAAGCGCTGTATATGGTACTATAGACCACGTTGTTCTTTTATGAGAACGTGCAAGGACAAGAACGCCTCTGAACCCACTATTTATGAATTTTAATGGTTGTGTTTCTCAGCTAGCCGTCTCACATATACACACAATATCTGCGGGCATTACTCTCCATACGATCGAATAGTGCATCAGCATACTTCGGTAATCTTTCTCGATCCCGTCCTATGTGTGCATAAGTTTTTGATGATAATTATGGAGTTCTTATCTACTTTATGGTCTACCGAACCACATAAATGTAATATTTTGTTTCTACAATTGTAGCGATTGCTTGCAAAATATAAGGACAGCATGTTCGAGTGTAGACATACATTGTTCGTGTATAGACATACAAAATGACAGAGAGTTTTCAAAAAATAAGTAGTTACAAACTACACCCGTCCAGTTGTTCTTGAAAGATGGCAAGTTTGAATTGCTTGAGTGACCTTAAGCTCCGTCCTTGCAAAATAATTAAGAGTTATTTTCAAATGCAATGTTTCCCGCGCAAGAAGTCATGCGCAAGTTGATGACGATGTGCTTACCGTCGTATGTACAAGTTGAAGTTTATCTCTCAACACGTAAATACATTGGCATATAACCAAGCAGCGCACCACTGTATTCTGCGTTGAGCGGGGCATACGCTCATGAAACAGTTTGTGAGGGCGACTTCCAATTCTTATTGACAAATCGGCGGTATTTTCGCGTAGCTGCTAATGACTGACATGCTAACTATTGCACACCCTGGTGGCTGGAAATGGAGACTACAACTGTCCGTTGAGGTTTGGTGATTATCGCTTTCTACTGCTGAGCTAAAATTTGCGGTTTTTAACGGTTCTCCTAAGACCATGCTTCACCACGCTTCTCCAAAGAAGGACGAAAGATGAATAGCGAATGCCAGGATGTAGAATATATCACGGCTATAAGATATCGAAAATCAGCAATCTCCACTGATACGATAGAAAAAGTAATTACATGGACAGACTATAACCACCTCATGTTTCCATGGCAACCCCACTGGAGTCAGTCCAGAAAGCTCGAAGTCTTAATTACTAAATTTCGATGTCGTGTCCCCCCCCCCCCTAAACCTGTATCTACACAGAGCGGGTCAGACAACATCACCCCTCTGCGCATTCTGCGGAGAAATGGAATCACTAGATCATTATTTTTTGTATTGTCGCCGCTACGAGATACTTAGAAAAAGGTTACTAGTTATGCCATTTCGAAAAATAGGCCTTAGATTGACGGCGGAAACGGCGCTAAGCTTTGGCGCCTCAGCTTTGGGACATTGCCACAGGGATGCTTTCAATGCCGTTTGCGATTATATTCAGGCAACCAAGCGTATACCTTTGTGATCTTCAATCAAAAAAAAATATTTATTACTCTCAAGGGCAGAGTGAAGTAAACGCAGCTGAGTGGTAAACATAACACCTCAAATCTCAAAATTGCTCAACTTGATTTTTTTTTCGTTTGCTCTTTTTATGTTGTTTTTATTTTTACAGTAGTCTTACTATAATACCGATTCATTGCACATAGTTAAAATGATCACAGAAAAACTGCACTACACTTTCTTGGCCAATCCCCCTGAGTGGGTATGAGCCAACCTCCCAGGGAAACAAAACAAAACGAATGCCAGGACAATCGTTTTCAGTGGGTATGAGCCACAAGAGAAGGGGAACAAGAACAAGAATACCTGCCTACTACATAAATTGTATGCTGATTGTTTGATTAATTTGTGGGATTTCATGTCTCAGAACCACCATATGATTACGAGCGATGTTATAGTAGAAGGCTCCAGAAATTTTGACTACTGGGCGTTCTCTAACGTGCACCTATATCTAAGCACGGGCCTACAGCACTTCAGCCTCCATTTAAAATCGAGCCGCTGCAGCCGGGATTCGATCCCGCGACCTGCGAGTTGGCAGCCGAGTACCTTAGCCACTATATCATGGCGGCGGAGCCATAAAACGTATGTTAATTCATGGCGATCATGGCGGCGGAGCCATAAAACGTATGTTAATTCATGGCGTAGTGGGTACCCTGCAAGTGGGCTTAAAGCAGCTACCGAAATCACGCTTATGCAAGTCTTTAAAGGTTCAGCACTAACAAACTCTACAGAATATCCGCCATTTATTATATCCCTGGCGAAGAGACTTTTGCCACACTCGAAAACAAGAAGTAGCTATCACAAGGCTGCGTTGCCGGGTACCAAATCTAAATTTCTATAAACACAGGTCTGCTCAGGCACCTTCGCCACTGTGCGCGTTCTGTGATGAACTGGAAACAATAGACCATTTCTTTTTAACCTGCAGGTGGTTTAACATATTGACAAAAACCCTATTGCGTGGTAATACCTTTGCGTGGTATTGGTATGAACTTATCTCTGCCTGTCATTTTGCCTTTTGGAGCTTCCATTTCTGGTTTCTCTAATGGGACAGTATGCGCGGCCGTCCGGGACTATATTGATGAAACTAATAGGTTGACTAATTAACCAGTTTCATTATCCTAACGTATCCACATAAATATATACGTATAAAATCTGATTATTCCTTTATTCTAAGAATAAATTCGTTTATGTAAATATTTGTATGCATTAGATTAGGCACCACACTTGCCTAGGCTATCGGTAATCTTTCTGTTATACCTCTATCATTCCAAATCTCAACAGTAAATTTTAAAACCCCTTGATTCTTGGCCGATCCCCCACAGTGGATATGCGCCACTAACAATACGAGAACAACAACACGCTTAAGGAGCCCCGTAAAGGCCATTGTTTCACCTATCGCAGTGACAGTGCAGCACTTTCCGCACAGGCCTGGCGGTTTTTTCTCGTGGCCATATTTGCACCACTTTGCTTTCTTTGTGTTGTTTTAGCGCACTCAACACATCAAAATAACGAGGTGACTTATGTAAGCATAAAGTTTGTTCATTAACGTGACCTAGTTGTGCTCCTAATATAGTTTTGTTATGTGAATTATCTTGCCCAATATGTTCGCATACTGACTTGACAAGTCACACTTTTTCTGGTATTCAATGAGCTGGAAAATGATTTAAGTTCAAAGCGTGCGAAAAACTACGCATTGGCTATCGTGCACAGCGTTCTTAAACAGGGCGCATATCCTTCCGCTTTTTAAAGTACTATTTAGCCGCAGCTAGCGAGGGCTCGAAAATAAAACGGGCATGTAAAACTAATAACCACCAAGATGTGACCCTCAAAATTACTCCAGTTGACCCTGGAAATTATCCCTACACAGGCGACATCGTGTTCGCGGAGAGGCAGGCAGGCGTAACCTTGAGAGTTGTTGCTCGGCTCCATATTGCGATTTCTCCTCGGGCGTCGCTGCTTTCATCGCAGGGTCGCATTTCCCGCCGCAGGCTTGCTTGCTTGCTTTTTTTCTGAGAAGAAACCGGAGGCGGCCGCCAAGTTTACCCAGCACGAAGAGAATCGCATTTGTGCGCCAGACAAGTTGGGTCGAGA